GTTTTCTGATCATTCACCAGAGAAAACTTTAAGAAGTGCATTCTGGGTAAACTTTCCAGGCTGATACCAGCATGTGTGATGGTGGTTGGTCAGAACAAGTTCTACACAATGAAAGGATCATTTTACCTCCAGAAGATACCAGAAGATCATCTATAGACGTGATTCACTCTGTGGTGGAATAACTTTGGTGCTGTAGCTGTAATTAGTGTAAGAAAAACTTTTAAATGTTAGAATTTGAGCAGGTTTCTGTGTTTCTTTTGCAAATTCGTGTGAAAATGTGATTATTTGTGTTATTTCTGTGACAGCAGCAGTCGAAACATTAATAATCCATCCATCCATTATCTATACACCACTTAATCCTCATTAGGGTCGCGGGGGGTCTAAATAATAATCCAGTGCACATTTATATAAAACAATAGACTGGAGTCAGGAATGAACCCAGTGAGTTATGATATCAGGTGTTGGTGGTGTTTAAGGTGTGAGTTTAGCTGATTCATTTACCTGTGAAGGAACAAAACCCTACAAAGATGTAACGAATCTATAAAACATGAAACCTTTTTGTTTTTTGTTCTGCAGTTCTGCAGGTTGAACTCACTCGACTTCTGGACAAACAGGGAACACACTTATTCGACATCTTCAACCCTGAAGTCATTCCTCAGGACGTGAGTTCTCTTTAGGTTCTCTTTCGGTTCCCTTCAGGTTCCTGTTTGGTTCCTGCCTTAACTTCTGTCCGTCTCTGCTTCAGGGCTTCACCGTGGTCCAGATGGACTTTGGGTTTCCTCATCACCTGCTGGTGGAGTTTCTGAAGAGAACTCTGCAGTAGCTGATGATGCTGCAGCAGATTGTGACGCGTCGTAGTTGAACGTTTGTTTGATAAAATATGAACCATAGAGGTTTAAACAACATAAAACCATCGACATGAAGTCCAAACCATCACAGATTCTTTTGTTTAGTCAGAAATCATCATAAAATCATATAAAATAAACATAAAAAGCCAAATTAAAAGAATGAATTGTGCAGAAAGACCCATTTCATAAGAGTGTTTATTATATTCCAGGATTATTTTTGCATTAACATGTAAATAACTTTAAATAAAATGACATTTATATTTACTTTGTGCTTTCAGGACACGTTTTTGGTCATTTTGGACAAA